AACACTTTTTTTATTATTAATTTTTAATTCTTTATGGTCCGTAAAGAAGATTTTTTGGTTGATTATACATTATGTTACCATTTAGTTTGGTTGTTTGGTTTTGTTATTGTTGTTTTTAATGCATAATATAATTTCTATTAGCTGCTTAGTATATATTGAGTTTAATATTAAATTTGAAATTTTTTTTCTTGTTTCCTTTTTTTAGTGTTAATTTTAATTTTTTTATATTTCTTTATTTCTTTCTTTATTTATTTATTTATTTTTATATATATATATTTATTTTTTTTTTTTTAATTGTTACCACATTCTTAACTACAATATATCGTTTGGGCTTTACTTGAATATTCATATTTACTCCAAGCGTGCCTTATAGGTGGTCTTCCAGATTTCGGCTAGTGTTACTGCGCTATGAAAACGATGGAAAATGCAAAGTGGCAGTGTTACACGCTGTATTATGGACCATGGTACAAAGCCATAGAAATCCAATTGTACCTGAATTCAAATCAATTATTAATATAATTTATTTAGTGGAAAATATTAATCAGATTATAATTGAACATATGATTAACGAATAAATAAAATTAATTATTATGAAGAAAGCAATATATGAAGATATGAAAAGAAATTAAAGTAAATAAAATTTATAAAATTTAAAAAAAAAAAAAAAAAAAGACACTTTGAAACGAATAAGTAAGTAATTGAATGTGAATAAAAATAGATATTTTTCGAAACTTTTTAGTATTTTTATAAAATGGTAATTTTTTTTAATAGCTTAGCCCTTTCATGACCAATCGTAAGATTGATTGTTTTCTTTCTTGCTTTTTTTGACAAAGCATGAATGTGTTGAAAGTCTATACTTTCTAGGTAGTCGTCATAACAAGTAGATAATGAAGAAAGGAGGAAATTGTATATAGCTTGGGTTGAATTGTTAAACATGTACCCTTAGCTTGGATTGCAAAACGAAAATAAAGTTTTATATAAACTGTTTAAAACAGCGCTCTTCCTTGGGCCGAAACACGTCAGCGCATCAAATTTAATAAAAATATTTGCAAAGTTGTGGCCTATTAGTTGAACGTTAGACAACAGGACAGACAGACGAATGGGTAGACAAAAGAGCTTAGATTAATTCTGGGAAGGGTTCGGTACAATAAAAGTTGGATCTGGCTGTGGCATGCATCCACAGCATATGCATACGCTTATAGCGTCCTTATCCAAATGAAGACGTTCAGCCTGGCTTATAGATGTGAATGTCGAGTACAGCTCAATCCAAATTTAACTTTGTTTCTCGACTATAGCAACTATACAATCGAATGATTTTGTAATCGAGAGTAAGAAAAATTCATTCCTTATCGACTGAACAGCTGTAAATTGACGAGTCCTCACAGTAAGTCGATAATCGAGAGCTATCGAACTTATTCAATATCGGCAGCTATAAATCGGTATTATTAATATACTGTACACGACTTGCGTTACAGGGTATATCAAGTTTGTGCGGACGTGGGTAAGACGTAGAAGGGTTTGAGATAGACTCAGCTTTTATTGTACGCATGGATTCAGAAAATGATTCCGGCCTGCCTGCCTGCCTGCCTGCCTGCCTGCCCGTCTGTCCGCCCGTCGATCTGATGTCTGTCCATGTATTTTTATATTCAACCTACAGTTAGGAATTTTGGAGATATTTTGATAAAATTAGATGTACTGACGTGCTTTGACCAAAGGGCGGACGATATTGAAAATGGGGCGACTAAGTCCAGTTTTTCGACCACTCATTGTTTGAACCCCTTTTATATAATCGTTTCTATGAATTTGGATTACGTAGGTCTAGTTTTGGATACAACCGCATATAAGCTCAGGATACTCAGGAGATCTAAGTCCTCGTATGCCAAAAAGGTTTAACTAATGCTCGTCAAAAAGTTTTAACTTTTAATACACACAGCGACTTTTCAAGATAAGTTACTATATGGGAGGAAGTAGGAAAAGTCGTTCGATTTGATCCATTTTCGCTCTTGGGCCAAAACACGTCACTTTATCTACTTTCATTGTAAGATCTCAACCATTGGCGATCTATACATATAATGCACACAAAAACACACGGGCAGACATCGGGCAATTAGATAGACATGCAAGTTTAGATCAATTCTGAATCGATCACACACAAACGGTGCAGGGTGTAAAGCAAATGCGCGTTCATTCCCGTAATCTAACCAAAATTGTTATGCCTATGGTTGACTAAACTATTTCGTAATATGTTTACAAAATATTTTATAAAATACTGAAACTACAAACATTGTAACCTGGTCCACAGAGTAGTTCATGTTCTATTTATTAAATACTTGCCACAGAATATTATCATGTATTGGAAACTTTTTAGGCTGCGGTGCCATTGTTAACAATTGGTATGCGAATGATTCCATAAGCTCTTGTTGAGAGATAAAGCGGAATTTGAAATAGAAAGTTTGGACTTTGGGTGACATGCTCCCGTTCGAAGGACCCTTTCTGAAAATGTATTGCATTCGCTTACACAAAAAATAAGACAAAAAACAAAAAAAAAAAGAAGGAAAAAACACGAAGAAATCGAAAATTTCAACAAATCGTATCCATTGGAACTTTGCTTAGAGTATTTATTAAAGCCTTCTAAAAGTTTATTGTGAGAATGTCGCTAAATTGCTGCAAGCAATGCCTAAATGTAGAGTGACAGATTTTGTACACTTCGCCTACACAGTAGCGAGTATAAACTGAAAGTTTTACGTAAATGAAATTTTAGAAAAAAAGTTCAAGACCAATAAAAAAATGTTTTTATGACTGTCGTAGTCTTTTCATAGCTGAAGCTGTTATTGCAGATTTTAAAGACCAATTTTTATAATAAATTTTACACCTTTCTAGTAATATGCATAAACAGCTTATTACAAATTCTTACATTTAGTATATAATTCGCATCTTCATATATTGCTCACGTACATATCTACTTACGGGATTGGCGAATACTTTTTGAGCTTCGAATGTGTAAATGGCAAACATGGCTACGTTGCATATCAACAGAAATGTTACAATTTGGCGTCCAGGTTTGCTGCGATCATGTTCAGGTAGGTGAACTCGACGACGCGATACATCGGCAATGAATAAAAGTTGCAAAATTACTTGCAAGACAGCAACAGCGCTAGTGGTGGTAACTAAGAGATGGGGCTCACTTTCCAAGAACTTCAAGCTGCCGGATATAACACTGAATACCGAATAAGTGAAAAGACCAAAGGCTGAGATGCGCAACAATATATCATTCAAGTTTGATTGTTCCTCGCAACGGAATTTAAGATTTTTAACTCTGCCAAAGTAAGGACGTAAATAAATGTAATATTTGTTTAATTGGCATTTCTTTTTTTTTTTTTTTTTTTTTTTTGTTACCTGAAAAATCCTACAATAATGGCCAATATTGCAAACGCCATAAGTATACAATGACTGGCATCAGCCAAATAAATAGCTAATAGCGAGAACTGCTGATGACGCACCAAGACGAAGAAGAGTATCAAACAGATTAGAGCACCGACCAACAACAACAGACCAAAGAACAGACCCTTTGATGAACCGACACAATCGACACGACCTGAACGCGCCTGTTGAGCCATGGCCACAGCACGGCGTGACAGCATGACTTCCAAGCGATGCTCCAAGTCGTCATCATTCAATCGGCCGGGATAGCGGCCAATATGCTTCCACATAACATAGAGGACAACAGCGCCAATCAGGGAATACTCAATGATAAAGGGATATAGATAGGGTGCCGAATCATAAACAATAGTACCCATAATATCTACACGACCGCAGGCAGTGGAATTGAGGGTGCCGACATTCGAGGATAGGGCAGCTGGATAAATGTTATCGAGATTTTCGTAATTCTCATGTAATACAAGGCCAGTGCTTTCGGGATGGGATATGCCGGAATAGGTCTGAAAACTATTTTCCATGAGATTGCTCATGAAACTTAAAGCATTACGAGTGGTAGATGAGGGTATAGAGGATGTAGTGGTGGCGATGGTTGCGGTTGAAGTGACGGTGTTGGTAGTGGGTGATGATGGTGTGCTCGATATGAGATTACTGAAGAATGTGGCAAGACTAGATGCAATGCTAGGTGATGATTCTATAGATGCGGAAGCGGTGGTCGGAGCAGCGGTACTGGCAACAGAAGCTAACAAATTTTCTGCCCCCTTGTAAGAAGCAGTGGACATGGAATGCTGGAATGTACTTAAGGGCAACTCAGTGGTCGTGGTTGTTGTTTCTGCACCCAAAGTAACGGCACTTGTCGAAGGCATGGGTGCGGTAGTGCTAGTAGTGCCTAAGCTTGTGGTAGTGGCAGCGGTAGTACTGGTGATAAACTTCTTCAACTTGCGTGCCATAGTAGTGCTGTGCCATTGATGATGCTGATAATAGTTAGGCGTAGTAAAGGGCATACGAGTAGTAGTTGTTGTTGTCGTAGTAGTAGGCAAGGTACTGGTGCCAACTATCACAGAGCTAGTTAAATCACTAACCTCATTCGAGCTTATACCAAGGGTCTTAGTAAGACCATTGACCGTCTTGCGCACAAACTTAGACAACACATTATCCGTTTTGTAAGCATTAACAGGTAGCAAGTCTTCGCCATCTAAAACCTCAAATTCCTCATTGGGTCCAATATGAGTACGTAACACAGTACCGGCATGGCGTAAGGCGTGCTGTCGTATCGACTGAGCAATCGATGAATCTTCAGCTTCTATTTCACGTCGCTGATGATATAGAGTAATTTCTAGTAAAGACTCCTTAACTAAAGTACGTATCCAAACGCAAAGATTAGTGGCGACCACATGCATCAAACCGAAACGGGCAATTACTTTGAAACGATGAATATTAAGCTGGAATTATAGAAACATTTAACAAAAAGTTGACAACTCCACATAAGTCTGCAAAACGAATCGAAACTAAACATAACAATAACTAATTATTAATTAATTAATTAAAGAAAGCCATCAGGATGATCTATATATACATAGTTAAGTAAGTATAGATATACTCTCGAAAGTAATTTTTTTTTTTTTTCAATTTAATAACAAAATGATAGCATGATGAATATGATATGATACCGTACCTGAAATGGTGGCCTAGTCTGCAGACGATTATATGATGACCGTTAAAAGGGGTAGAAGGGATTATATATATATATATACACGAGTTAATCATTAAAAATTATACGCTTTAAAAATATTCTTGAGAAATTTGACAAATATGAAAAATTAAATAATAAAAAAAAACAAAATAGTAATTAATACAAAAAAAAAAAAAAATATTGTAATAAAAATGCATGATTCTAATTGAAAAACTAAAAACAAATTGCAAGAAGAAAACAAAAAAAAAAAAGAAAAGACAAACAAACATACGATAATTTAAGTTAAAGAACGCAAATCAAAGATATACGTACGATTTTAAAGTGAGTGATATTTTAGGCCAATTAGAGTGTAATGAGTCTAAAGCATAGAATGAATGAATTTTATTACCAATTATTAAACACCCAAATGGCTTTATCGCTCTACTCTCTCCGTTTCCATTTCTCACTATCTTTCATTATCTTTCATTTTCTCTCTTTCTCTTTCTCTCTCTCTCTCTCTCTCTCTCTCTCTCTCTCTCTTTCTCTTTCTCTCTCTCTTTCTATTACTCTCGCTCTTATTTTTTTCTTTATCTGTCTGTCTCTCTCTCTCTCTCTCTCTCTCTCTCTCCTTCTTTTTCTCTTCTTCGCTCTCTCTATCTCTCTCACCCTCTCTTGCGATCTTCCTCTCTCTTGCTTTCTTTGCCTCGCTCTTTCTTTCCTTCTTCCTTTCTTTTGTGTTATATAGTTTAGAAAACTTAAATCTAAACTTAAACTTAATTTAAATTTCAATTAATAATAAATAAATCGAATGAATCCCGAAACTCCTCGGTCCACTATTTGTTTTGCATGAAACTTACTCTGGCATTCATAAAGATGAAATACATTTGCATAAACGTGAAAATCATTTGCAGCAAAGGATTAACACCAATCAATATATGATGACATGGCGAGTCGAAGGGTATCTCAAAAAATGAACCGAATTCCAAGCCAATATAAATCATGGCACCCAAGCCAAACGCTATAAACGACAGGAAATTCATAATGTTTTCCGAGCTATGTATTTCGTTAATACGTTATTTACCGATAGCTCCTACTCGCAAAAAGAAACTGCCATGCGTAGGATCACTATGGGTGGTCTTGCGTTTACGCACATTCTTCGGAGTAACAGCTACCTCCGCATCAACTTGTGAATCCTGGAGTAAAAAGAGAAGGAAAGAACGAAATAAAGAAAAACCAGAAATTATTTTATTCTACAAAACATTAATTCTTTAAATGTTAATATAAAAGTTTTGCAATGCAAAGTAATGAATGGATGACTATTAGTGTGGAGTGTGGTATAATGATGATTTAGTCAAGTAACGTTAGGAAGCTCATGCTACAATATTTAAAAAATAAATTATTTGTAAAATTTTATAATACTTTTCTTAGCTTCGTATTACCTACGGTACAGCCACAAGACTGTTTTTATTTTTATTTTTATATATATATTTTTTTTTTTTTTTTTTTTTTTGTATAATAAAAATTTTTTTTCACTCACCAACCAAGCGTAAGTTAATTTTATTGATTCATATCTAACAGCCAGAAAACGAAAGCAGTCAAGCTTACTATTTTAATGTTTATATCTTTGTTTGTTCACTTTGTAAAGCAGATTTCATCTAATTTACTTAAAATATATGCAAAGAAATTAAAATGCATATAATATATATATATATATATATATATATATATATATATTGTATATATATTACATATATATATCTATATATATATATATGATTTATATATATTGTAATGACGAGAAATGATCGCACGTCGAATGCTTTTAAAGTGAAACACTCAGAGTAAAATCTAAGTGAATTTATTGCGTTCGCTGTGTTCGTCCATGTTCGAAAGGTAAGATTAGTCGCAGCAAAAGATGACATACATACAATCGATAATGAAGGAAATGCATGGATAATCTCGCCCCCAATTAAAGAAGATCAAGTCAAAAAGTTTTCCAGCAAACAAATAAAACAACAAATCGTTCGCGTGTGAAAGCGGTACCGATTTGATAAACAGCTTTCTCATGCGCAGATTCTCATGCCAAATAGTGAGTAGAGTACTTTTTGACATTCCCAGGATGTCAGCGATCCCTTGTAATATCGGATATCGAGTATTCATGTTAAATTTCAGAATTTGCGAAATAGTGAGCACAACACTTTTTGACATTCTCACGATGTTAGTTATCACCTCATCTCGATTATCGTCATTAAATTGCAGAATTTCTTTGACACTGTTTATTAGAGACGAAAGCTATGTTTCAATTCCGAATATTATTGACCGATGTTTTAAATACAAATTGTTTGGATTTCCTTACAAACTGTAACAAAGATCGCAGACCCTTGCAAGCATGTATACTCTTGATCAGGAGGAGTAGTGTTCTCGATTTAGCCCTGACTTTTTGAAATAGGAATTTAATCATGAAAAATTTTGCTTAGAAAAATATATCGACTGCACAGATTCCCTTTATAATTGTGGTAAAGGTAATGTTTTCGGTTTTTCTGATACAGAAGTTAACATAATGCATATCCATCCATCTTTATTCATAAAAAGCACGACAGACACAATCCTCTCAGATCAAATTTAGATGCGCTCAACTTTCGGCAATGGTTGACGAGGAAGCCGCTATTCGGTATTTGAATTTCGTTGTTATGGTCGCTCGTAATAGGCCCAAATCCAATATCTATAGTAACCAGATTCATTAATATATTATCGTATTTGTCCTTATACTCGTCCGAAATTGATCAAATATTATCAACTTCTTTCTTATTTTTGCTCATCGGACAGCAATTTAGTTACTTTGGTACAACATCTTGCATGCAGCAGAAACACAAATAATAAATAACGAATTTAGGTATGCTTGGAATTACATTTGTTAAGTTCAAGTTTGCCGCTTAACCTATTTAAGATGTGAAAAGTTATATGCATTGGTGTATAACACATCACTTAATAAGATCGTAAGATCATTGATCAAAATAACAATTTTCGGGTAAAATGGGACTTTATCCATTAACATAGCCTCCTTCCAGAGCAACGAGTAGTAATACATTCACATTCCACAATGCTTCTTTAAGATGCTTATGCGTTTTCCATAGAACGATTTGTCCAAACGTTCAAAGTACGCTTCACAGTCGTAGCTCGCTCCTTCATTGAAATCATTTTTCGTTTCAATGAATTTTTTTCTCTTTTTTTCTTCATTTTTCTTCATTCGAACTTATCGAATGATCTGTTATGCGCGAACCATTTATGTAACATTTCCAATTTATGCAATTTTCTATGAATTGCTGGCATCAATTCTTTAAAAATGCGACTACAGAGAACTCGATCTTAAAGATCGTATCACCCTTTTTACTACGAATTCCGATGTTTACGATCATAATTTTGAAATCTTACTATGTTAAGTATATAACATAGTTATTATATTGAAGGCGTGTGAAGTCCATTTCATTGGAAATAGTTAAATAATATTGATCCTATCCTCAATATTTTTATTAGCGAAGATATTTTTCGATGCTTTGCACCTGGGAAAATGGAACAGTTTGGAATGTTTGCCATTTAGTTTGCTAAGAAGATCGTATTTGTGAATTCATTTCAATTTTTGCAACGGAAATATTCAAGTTGTGATCGTTATGGTTATGGTGCAATTTTTTTTCTTTTAGATTACTTCGAATTGAAATTGTTGCCCTATTTCCGATCGTAAGATGCGAAGAGTGACATAAAAAGATTTTGTGTGTATGCCCACCCGTGGACAACTAAACAACGCAATATCGAGGGCACATGTTGAAATATTTATACAGTAGACTTCTCTATAACACGGCTTTATATTAAACAGATTCGCTAAAGGGGATTATTGCAATTTCATTACTACTTGGCAAAGGAAACATTTATTAATCAATGAGCATAAAAATGCTTGCGATGTATTGTCTTAAGGCGAATAATTATTGAAGAAAGTTATTTTCAATATAACAATTAAGTCAATCGTTTTAGGCGGTGAACAACACGGCGTGACACAACACGGATTCATATAAAATGTATACTACATTGTTATAGGATGGTCTACTGTAAAGGGAAAATATACATTTTTCATGGGACCATTTACTCTTAAATTATGCTCTCTATGCTTGTGTATGTAAATGTAAATTGATTGTAAACCTAAAAAAAATCCTTCAATGGCACTAGAAAATTAAATTCATTGAGAGGAAATATTGCTTTCCCGGGTTGTTTTTCTCTTCTTTTCTTTCCTAACGCAATTGCATACACAATCGAATTCTTTTTATTGCTTCGCATATGCATGAAAAGTGAAAATCTTTTAAAACAATGCAAGTGACACAATTATGACAATTTGTAGACTAGTGGTAATTAATACAGTACACACACACACAGTGTGTGACTTGCTCTCGTACACAATGGAATACTCTATTGTTCAACCTTAAACGGCATTTAGTACAAGACCACTTACTATATACTAAAATATACTATATATATACTGAATATATATATATATATGCATTCGCAGACACATAGACATCGCAGTAGTATTTTGTTATGATTATCACAACAATCATACAATATAACAGTATTAACCGAATACAGATGTAAGGTAAGTAAGTGGGTGAAGACTTACGCAAAACTTGATGACTTTATATAGTTGAAAATGAGGTTGCCAATAACAAAGAAAGAGAGAGAGAGAGAGAGAGAATTACACAGATACAAGATAAAGAGAGATAGACAGAGAGAAAGAGAGACAGAGAGAGAGAGAGAGAGAGAGAGAAAGATAGAGAGAAAGGGAGGAAAAAAAAACAAAGAAAAAAGCAACTAAATCCACCACATTGCAGACAAAACCATAAAGAGATATTGAATAACATATATGTTAGAAGACCAAATAACAAAATGAATAACGTGTACAATTAACACAAGACAACATCTGTATGCTTAAAAGAAAAAAAATTCTGAAACATGAGACTTATGAAATAATTGGGTTAATAGGCAGATATGCTATATTTTATATTTCATACAAAATCAACAACTTCTCGACCACAGTTAGACAACATTTCTTGCAATAACCTATACTGAAATCCACAATCCATTCAAAATCAAATACTTTGTAAAAGTATTGCGACATTATCTAATTGAGCCGTTCATTTCCAAAATGATTTATATCTGCTTTTTTCAAAATCAATCCAACTCTCACCTTTTCCTTTTCAACTAATTTATAACTGCAGCTGCATAGTCGATTGTTAAAAATACGCTTTAAAAAAAAAAATGTTTGTTCACCGTGAAGCTTTATTTATTAGAGCTACAAGAGCGAATTTTGAGATCTTTTCGTGACCTGTGTGACATCTTGAAATAGGTTTTTACATGAATCTTTGATGGGTTAACTGCACTTTCATTAAATTGCAAACGTAACTCTGCGCACGCATTTCTTTGCAACGTCATTGTCTTATCACAAAGTTGCTGAGGAGTACATGCCCACTCGCAATGCTGTATTGATATACTCTGAAACTGCATTAATGCTCTCGATGATATTTTGCCCTTAGTCTTGTCACTCCGATTTGGGATCTCTTGGCTGCCTAACAGTGATTTCTTTCTTCAAAACCTTTCTCTAAACAACAAAATTAAGCAACAACCTTGAGAGCCCATTATTTCAAATCGCGAAATCTTTTTCCTCTCGTTTTTTCCTTTCCTGCACGTAGCACAGTGACGGTCAGAAAGAAGTGAGCAAAGAGAAAAAGATAGGGATGGGCCGCAACCTAGTAGATGTGTTCTCACAATCGGTAAGTATTATGCGTTTACCGACTAAGCCCTGACTATAGCTACGACCAAAGTAAACTCTATCGTGCTGAGATTTGAACCCGCGAGCACTGACGCTCGTGCGAAATGAGATCGTACTTGATGATGATTGAGACCTTATAAGATACGTTATTTCATAATGACTTTGGAAAGTGCGCATTTCACGACCGCCACATATTACCTGGCATTAATTGATCTGGTAGATCCGCCAGATATTCGTAAAAGCTGTTAAGCACAATTGAAAAGTTAAGATGTTTATTTTAATTGTGTATTCTTTGAATTTATTCATTGCACTGGTACGCATCTACTTAAATAAAACGGGATTAATAGGCCCGATGAAGTTAATTCATTTTCAAATGTAAACGGCTCAATTAATTAATGTGTTCTTATGTATGTATGTATGTAAGTATACAATTGAATGAATGTATATTAACCGTACCTGTGTTTGTATTAGAGATTGTCGTACCAAATCACGTTTTTTGACTGGATACCGTTCCTGTGAGTTGTGTGTGTCGTACATATTTTGAACATATTATCGGAAGAAGAAGAAGTGGGAGAAGATTGAAGAACATCGCACATTTGTAAACGTAAGTGCACGTATATATATATA